TTTGACACAGAGTCTCGCTCTTGTCACCCAGGCTGGAGTGCAGTGGCTTGATCTCAGCTCACTGCAATCTCCACCTCCTGGGTTCAAGCGATTCTCCTGTCTCAGCCTCTCTAGTAGCTGGGATTCCACGTGCACACCATCAGGCCGGGCTAATTTTTGTATTGTTAGTAGAGATGTTAGCCAGGCTGGTCTTGAACTCCTGACCTCAGGTGATCTGCCTGCTTCGGCCTTCCAAAGTGCTGGGATTACAGGCGTGAGCCACCGCGCCCCGCCTACAACCACCATTTGAAGTGGGTGCTGTCATGCTCCTCATTTTACAGATTGGAGAGACCAAGGCCAGAGAGGGACAATGACTTGCCCAAGGCCACATAGCTTGAAACTGAGAAGGTGGGATTTAAATCCCAGCCCTCTGGCACCCAAATCCATTCTGTTAACTACCAGGATATGCTGCTGTAACGTGTCCTAGGGTAAGTGGTTGACATACAGTAGGTGCCTAATACATGATAATTATTGTTATTTTTAATTATAATTCTCCTAGAGGGCACTTGGAGGGAGGGTGCATCAGGGGAGAGAGAGGGCCCCATGGGGCTATGTCTGCTCTCTGAGGTCCCAGCCAGTATCCAACCAGCCAGCTGGGGCGGGGGACGCTGGGGTCACTAGGGGTCGGTGCTGCTCTTGCTGCGCGGCGGCGGCGTGCGCGGGTCCCAGTCATTAACCAGGCGCTGCGCCTGCTCGTAGCACACGTGCGGTTGCCGCTGGCGCAGGCGCAGGCGCACCACGCTGCCGTCCACCTCATGCCCGATGGTTTTGCAGTTGAGGCCCCAGGTGAGGTTCTTGTGCGTGGCGAGCAGCTCGTCCAGGTTCTTTTCCAGGTGCGTGATGTGGCGCTGCAGCTTGTCGGTGCCCTGGAGAGGGAGCAGGGCAGACCCGTGAGGCAGAGCAGAAGGCAGGTAGCTACCTGGGGTGAGCAGGCACCCCTGCGCCAGGTGTGTGTGTAAGGAACACAGCTGAGGAGGGGAACACATCTGGGTGGGCCAGGTGCGCCTGAAAAAACAAAAACAAAAACAAAAAACCGTGACAGGGCAGGCTAAGGGAGGGGAATGCATCTAGTCAAGATGTGTAGGAAGGAGCCTCCTTAGGAAGTGGGCTTAATAATAACAGCTCAGGGCCGGACGCGGTGGCTCACACCTGTAACCCCAGCACTTTGGGAGGCTGAGGCGGGCAGATCACCTGAGGTCAGGAGTTCAAGACCAGCCTGGCCAACATAGCAGAACTCTGTCTCTACTAAGAATACAAAAATTAGCTGGGTGTGGTGGCACACACCTGTAAGCCCCAGCTACTAGGGAGGCTGGGGCAGAAGAATGGCTTGAACCCAGGAGAGGAAGGCTGCAGTGAGCAAAGATTGCACCACTGCACTCCAGCCTGGGCGACAGAGTGAGACTCTGTCTCAATAATAATAATAGTAACAACAACAACAACAGCTCGGCTGCTTTAAGGGTATTCTATGGAGGTGCCATGCTACACGCCTTTCATGCATGAACCCATCTGTTCTCACCACCACCATCTGAAGTGAGTGCTGACGTGCTCCTCATTTTACAGGTTAGAGAGACTGAGGCCAGAGTGGGACAGTGAGGATGTGTGTGAGAGGGGAGGACAGGGGTTGAGGGGACTTATTTGAGCCACGTGTGGGTACTGAAGCCCCCTCCCCTCCCCACTTCGTGGCAGGAGTTGAAGGACAGGCCGACTTGGGTGAGCGGGGAATCATACCTGGTCCAGATGTGCTTGAGGAAGGAGCCTTACCATTGGCGCAGCTGCGCCTACAGGGGTATCGGGGAGGGGGTTTACCTGCGCGAGGCGCGCAGCCTCAGGGAGTTGGGTGCCCACGTGTCTCTGGTACATGCGAACCAGTGGTCTGTCCAGCTTTTCTCCGGTCTCCAGGTGAACTTTCGACAGAGGACCCTGGTGGGGTGCGGGTGCGGTGTGCAAGAGCATTGAAACGCAATCTCCACCCACCGGCACCCCTGCCTCCACCTCCGAAGGCTCTCACCCCGAACTGTACCTTGATGAGACCGTGGGTGGTGTACATCTCTTGGTTGTATTTCGTACACCGGTGGATAGTTCCCCTCATCAGTCCTAACGTCATAGTTAATCTTTCCTGGGGGCAGGGAAGCGCAGGGGGATAACGCTGGTTCCCAGTCCCCTTCTCCTCACCTGTCCCACCCTTGCCGGCAGCCGCAGGTAATGCGCTCACCTTCAGCTCCAAGGTCTCGCTCGCCTTCTGCGCCAGCGAGGCGCACACGCGGTCGCTTATCTGCAGCTGTTGCTCCTGGACGTCCACCACGTTCTTTGCCATTTCCACCAAGGTGTCCTTGGACTCGACCAACAACCGCTTGGCTTCATTTAGCGCCAAGGCGCACTCTGTAAAAGCCCAGGACGCGCTTGGGGGCGCCAAGCCCTCCGTTCCCAGAGTCCCTGTCCCTCTCTCTATTCTCAGGTGGTGGTGGGCCCTGGGCTAGGGGGTTTTATTGAGGGACTGGGTGAAAGCCCAAGGGGCGCGGGGGATAGTGTAAGTAGCGTCTTGGGTTGGTTTCCTTAGAAGCAGAGCCCGTGACCTGTAATCCCAGAACTTTGGAAGGCCGAGGCGGGCAGATCACTTGAGGTCAGGAGTTCGAGACCAGCCTGGCCAACATGGTGAAACCCCCGCCTCTACTAAAAATACAAAACTTAGCCAGGCGTGGTGGCGGGCCCCTGTAATCCCAGCTACTCAGGAGGCCAAGGCAGGAGAATCACTCGAACCTCGGAGGCAGAGGTTGCAGTGAGCTGAGATTGGGTGATTGCACTCCAGCCTGGGTGACAGAGCATGACTCTATCTCAAAAAAAAAAAAAAAAAAAAAAAAAGGAGCAGAGCCTGTGAATGACTGAGTCCTCAGTGAGTGTGAGCAGGAGAGCACGGGGGGGGCAAATTGAGTAACAATGTGTGCTTAGCAAGATAGGCTTTCAGTCCTCCCATTGGCTCTAGGGCTGTTTCCCAGGAAAGGGACAGCCAAGTGGATGAGGGGCTACACTGACAGTCAAGGGGATCTGGGTGGGCACCAATACAACCCAGTACAGTGGACTCCTACCTGGGGTATAGGTGCCCACAGGGTCTGGAGGAGGCGTTTTCTGACCCTGCGTGCGTGGGGTGGGGGCCCGGGAGAGGTTCACCCATGAGTGGCGTCCGGCCTGCTCTAGAACCTTGTCCAGAGGCTGGTTCATGAGGTCCACGGCTTGCAGCCGCTCCTTGAAGCAGAAGTTCAGGGTGTCTCGGCAGGAGGCCAGGGTCTGGGTGAAGAAGGGAGGAGGAGAAGGCAGAGTGAGAACTGGGAGGTTGAGGGAAGTGGATGAAAGTGATTTCTCTGCTGCAGGCTTGAGGCTTATAGGCTGTAAAGCATTTCTACCTCTAAATAGAAACTGACCCTCTCATTTTTTTTTTTTTTAAGAGACAAAATCTTGCTCTGTCATCCAGGCTGGAATGCAGTGGTGCCACCATAGCTCACTAAAACCTCAACATCCTGGGCTCAAGAGATCCTCCTGCCTAACCCTCCTGAGTAGCTGGGACTACAGGAGTAAAGCACCATGCCCTGCTAGTTTTAAAACTTTTTGCAGAGAAAGGGTCTGGCTATGTTGTCCAGGCTGGTCTTGAACTCCTGACTTCAAGCTATCCTCCTGCTCTGACCTTCCAAAGTTTTGGAATTACAGGCGTGAGGCAGTGTGCCTAATATTTTTGATACTGGTAAAGGCTTTTACTTATAGATATATATATATGTGTGTGTGTGTGTGTATATATGTGTGTGTGTATATCCTTTTGAGACACAGTCTTACTCTGTTGCACAGGTGGTAGTGCAGTGGTTCAGTCATAGCTCACTGCAGCCTCAATCTCCTGGGCTCAAGTGATGTTTGTTTCAGCCTCCTGAGACAGCTAATTTGTATTTTTTATTTTTTATTTTTGTAAAAGCAGGGTCTCACTACATTGCTTAGGCTGGTCTCAAACTCCTAGGCTCAAACAATCCTCCTGCCTCAGCCTCCCGAAGTTTTAGGATTACAGGTGTGAACCACTGTGCCTGGCCTGGAACTATTTTTTAATTTAATTCATTCCCTCAATGTTCCGGATAAATATTTTCTTTCATGAAATCTTTTTTAGGAGAGACATGCCTATGTCTTATGAAAAAAGATTTTTTTCGTCCTTTGACTCACATCACACCACCCCTCATGGTTTACTTTATTATTTTTACTTAAATTTTTGTTTTTAATTGAATAATAATTGTATATATTTATGGCATGCAATGTGATGCTTTGATTTGTGTATGCAATGTGGAAGGATTGTATCAAGCTAATTAACTTATCCATTTTCTCACATACTTATCTTTTTTTTGTAGTAAGTTTACTTAAAATGTATTCTTTTCCACTTAATTTTCCCAGCTTTATTGAGGTATAATTGACAAATACAAATTATATTTATTTAAGGTGTACAACTTGATGTTTTGACCTACTGTGAAGATATCACTGCATTCAGGCTGGGTGCGGTGGATCATGCCTGCAATTCCAGCACTTTGGGAGGCCAAGGTGGGAGGACCGCTTAAGCCCAGGAGTTCGAGACCAGCCTGGGCCACATGGTGAAACTCCACCTCTACAAAAAGTGCAAAAAATTAGCCAGGTGTGGTGATTCACATCTGTAATCCCAGCTACTCAGGAGGTTGAGGTAGGAGGATCACCTGAGCCCAGGAGATTGAGGCTGCAGTAAGCCATGATTGCACCAGTGCACTCTAGCCTGGGCGTGAGACACTGTCTCGAAACAAAAACAAAAACAACCATGAACAGTACAGTTTCCTCAATAGCCATTACAGATAAACACATGGATGAGTGGGTGGTGCTGATAGATATTCCCTTAAATGTGGCTTTTAGAGAAGGGAAGGTATGTTAAGGTATGGGAACATGGAAATATGAGTCAAAGGTCAGGCAATTCTGCTTACATTTTTCCCAGGTGCTGGGTGTTCACTTGGATGTCAGGTAATCCAGGAAAGTAATATGTGTATATTTTCAGATAGGGTCTCACTCAGTCTCCCAGGCTGGAGTGCAGTGGCGTGATCACAGCTCACAGCAGTCTGGACATCCTGTGCTCAAGTGATCCTCCCACCTCAGCTTACCAAGTAGCTGGGACACAGACACATGCCACCACACTGGCTAATTTTTTAAAAAAATTTTTGTAGAGATGAGGTCTTACATACTATGTTGTCCAGGCTGGTCTCAAACTCCTGGGCTCAAGCGAGCTACTCACCTTTAGCTCTCAAAGTGCTGGAATTACAGGCATGAGCTGCTGTGCCCAGCTAGAGAAATTCTTAAGACTTTTATTCACGAAGTTGTCTTCTGTTTATGGCACTGTGCATAATAACCAGGTAAAAGTGAGTCTGCTCATTTCCAGACAGATCATGCAATGGTACGATCTTGGCTCACAGCAACCTCCGCCTCCCGGGTTCAAAGGATTCTCTTGCTTCGGCCTCATGAGTAGCTAGGATTACAGGCATGTGCCATGATACCCAGCTAATTTTTGTACTTTTTAGTAGAGACAGGGTTTTGCTATGTTGGCCAGGCTGGTCTCAAACTTCTGACCTCAGGTGATCAACCCCCCTCGGCCTCCCAAAGTGCTGGGATATGGATTGGTTCTGAGAAATTGGTTTCCTTCGTCACTTCATTCTTGACCCTTTCCTGTTCTTTTATTTTGAGACAGGGTCTTGCTATGTTGCTCAGGCTGGTCTTGAACTCCTGGGCTCAAGTGATCCTCCTGCCTCAGCATCCCAAAGTATTGGAATTACAGGTGTGAGCCACCACACCCGGCCTCTTGCCAGCTCTTGTTGTTCTTGGGAAGAAGCAATTTCCAAGTTGAAGCTCAGACATCTCCTACCTCCTTACCCAGTTCAGAAGCCTTCAGTGACTCTTTGGGGTTGGGGTGAGGGGAGCGGTAAGAGACAGCAACAGCTTCCCTGTGCTGGGTGTCAGTTGCTTGGTTTCTGTGCCTGGCTCTGTTCTGGCACCCTGAGAAAGCAGCCTGTCTCATGCATTTCCCCACTGTAACATGGAGAGCTGGCACTCACTCTACCCACATCTTGATCTTCCTGTGTCACCCCCTTGATTCTCAACTGGCACTCATTCCATCCCCACCTCTAGCCTTGAAGTCTCCCTTCCTCTGCTCTGATCAATATTAAGAGACTGCTATTCTCCGAGTTCCTCCCTCCCACCAGGCTGTATCTCATCTGGACAGCATCCCGCCATTGAAATCTTACTTCCTCCACAATAAAACGAAGCATATCATATTCCTTTGATATTTGCAATTATTTGAGAGTTACATCAAAACAAGTCATTTGCACATGTATACAGCCTTATAAACACTCTCCATCAAGATGTACAATATTTCCATCATGCCATACATTTTTCTGGCTCCCCTTTCCTCTCTCTCTCCCTGACCACCTCCAGTAAGATGACTTGGAGATTAGTTTTACTTGTTCTAGTCCTTCCTTTCTTCATTCATTTGTACAGAATCTGGCTCTGTCTCCCGGGCTGGATTGCAGTGGCATGATCCTGGCTCAGTGTGGCCTCAAACTCCTGGGCTCAAGAGATCCTCTCAGCTCAACCTCCTAAATAGCTAGGACTACAGGTGCGTGCTAACCATGCCCAGTTATTTTTTAAACATTTTTGTAGAGATGATATCTTGCTATTTTGTGCAAGCTGGCCTCAAATTCCTAACCTCAAACTCCTGGCCTCAAGCAACTCTCCCACTTGGGCCTCCCAAAGTGCTGGGATAACAGATGTGAGCCACTGCGCCCAGCCGAGTTTTGCCTGTTCTTAAGGAGTTGATAAATTTCCATCCTATGGATGGGTGACCTGTTTTTGTAAGTAAAATTTTATTGAAACACAGCCATGCCCATTCGTGTGAATATCATTTCTGGTTGTTTTCATGGCACACTGGCCAACGTGAGTAGTTGGGGCAGAAACAACACAGTACACAAGGCAGAAAGCATTTACTAACTGTACCTTAAAGAAAACTCTTGCTGAATCTAAAACTTCACATAAATGGAATCCTACAGGGTGTATACTTTATGTCCAGCTTCTGTCTCTGAATGTGATATCTTTGGGATTTATTGATTGGGTTAAAAAGGAGACTTCAAAAGTCTTTTGTTCATGAACTCAACCATTAATTCAACCCCTACTGATGCCAGGCGATGTGTCAGTTGATGAAAATACAGTGACCAGCAAGACAGCTGTCCAGGCCGGGCGCAGTGGCTCACGCCTGTAATCCTAGCACTTTGGGAGGCCGAGGCAGGAGGATCATGAGGTCAGGAGTTTGAGACCAACCTGGCCAACATGGTGAAACCCCGTCTCTACTAAAAATACAAAAATTAGCCGGGTGTGGTGGCAGGCATCTATAATCCCAGCTACTCGGGAGGCTGAGGCGGGAGAATTGCTTGAACCCAGGAGGCGGTGATTGCAGTGAGCTCATGTTGCGCCACTGCACTCCAGCCTGGGCAATAGAGCAAGACTCCGACTCAAAAAAAAAAAAAAAAAAAAGGGCCGCGGTGCAGTTCAGCACCACGGACAGCGTTCCACCAGCCCCTGAGTCTTCTACCTGGTCCACAGACAGCTTTGACCCTCAGCCTGTCCCTTCTTCTCCCCTCCTTCCCACCCTCCAGTCAACACATCCTTACTGAACTTTGCTACGTGAAATATAATTTAGTACTGAATCTGTCTTCAAGGTCCAATGCTTGTTCAAATGTAGTTTAGCTGAGGAGCCTGCCTGGAGTCAACATGAGCAAGTTGACATACGCAGATAAGATCCAGTGGACTAGAGAAATAGGTATCTAGAGGGGCATGTAGATCAAGAGAGGTGGGCTTTCTATTGTAGTAAAATAGATATAACATAACATGTTGCCATTTTAACCTTGTTAAGTGTACAGTTTAGTGGCATTAAGTGTATTCGTACTGTTGTGCAACCATCATCTCCAGTAAGCTGATTTGGAGATTAATTTTACTTGTTCTGTTCCTTCCCTCCTTCCTTCATTCATTTATGTAGAATCTTGCTCTGTCTTCCAGGCTGGATTGCAATCCATCTCCAGAACTTTTTCATCTTCCCAAACAGATCTGTACCCATTAAAGAATAACTCTCCTTTTGTTCATGGTGACAATGAGCCAAGAGAGAAGGAAATGTTGATGATGCAGAAGGGTGGAAGGGTGGAATTATAGGATCGACAGAGGAAAAATGAGAGAGGTTCCCTTTGGTGGTTTTCATTGAAATCACTGTAGAGCAAGGAAGGCACAGAGAGTTGGAGAGAACTGAAGGAAGAGAAGGTATGAAATCACTTGCCCAGCAGGTCAGCAAGTCTTCTAGAGACTTAAGGCGAGGTCTGTGGGAAAGGTTTGAGTGCCAATTTGAAGTTTGACTTCATGATTTTAAATTGAAACAAATCTGATTGGTGGTATTTTTCTCCAGCAATATTCAGACCAGATCCTGCCAAGCAGCCTGTCTCTGTTTCTATCTACATCTGTCCTTTCCCACCTCGCTCTCTCTCTTTCAGAGACAGGGTCTTCCTCTATCACCCAGGCTGGAGTGCAGAGGTATGATCATGGCTCACTGCAGCCTTGAACTCCTGGACTCAAGCAATCCTCCTCCCTCAGCCTCCTGAACAGGGACTGCAGGCAAGTACAACTGTGCCTGGCTAGTTTTATTTTATTTTAAAATAGAGATGAGGCTTTGCTATGGTGCCCAGGCTGGTCTTGAACTTCTGGCCTCAAGAAGCAATCCTCCTGCCTTTGCCTCCCAAAGTACTGGGATTATGGGCATGATCCGCTTCCCTCTTTATAGCCCTTTGCTCCCACGTCCATCCTCAGGGGCTTCTCCCTTCTCTGCCTCCGACTTCCTGGAAGGATATTTCAGGAATCATTAGATTTAAAGGAATATGACAGCAGCCAGAAGATATGCCCTACTCAAGTTCAGCACCGCGGACAGCGTTTCACCAGCTCCTGAGTCTCCTGCCTCGTCCACACCCTCGTCCCCCAGCCTGTCCCTTCTTCTCCCCTTCTCCCCACTCCCCAGTCAACACAACCTTACTGAACTTTGCTATGTGAAATATAATTTAGTTCTGTATCTGCCTTCAAGGTCCAATGCTTGTTTAAATGTAGTCTACCTGCGGAGCTCTCTGTATAAAAGCAAGGAAAGTTCAACAGCAGTAAAAGACTTGACAGTACAATCTCACAATAGGAAATAAAACAAGTCCCCAGCCTGTCTTTTCTTTGAATGCCTCTAGAATGTTAACTCTTCAAGGGCCAGGCTAGTTCTTTCTCAGTCACCAATTTATCTATGATGCCAAGCTCAGTGTCTGGGAAGCAGGTACTAGATTAGTATTTATCAAATGGATGAGTTGAAAGCACACAAGTTGCCAGCAATCCCTAATAGGTCCCAAAGGCTCCCGAAGTCTGGCTGCTCTTTCCCCTTCATTTGCACCCTCATGAAGAAGTTCTCGTTGCAAGCGCGAAGGATGCAGCAAGAGATCAAGTCTGGCTGAAGCTGGAGCACGTGTTAGAGTGCAAAGAGCTAGACTCCAGTCACCTGGGCTGAAACCACAGCGCTGCCATTGATGGCTTTGCTTATTAGGTGAGGTCGTCTCTCTCTGAGTCTCAATTTTCCCATCTCTAATGAGGAAATCATAGTTTCTGCTTCACAGGACAGCCTTAACGAGTGGATTCAATGACTGCACAGGGTTTGGTACAGAGTGGGTGTTCATGGTTATTCTGAGACCCAACTTCATCTCCCATGGCCTCACTTTTTCCATTCACAAAGTGAAATGCAATGAATATCTGGTCAGTGTGGCTTGAAGGAATTGCTATTGTGACAGTCCCCAGGTCAGAGCGATTTGTCCATTAGGCAGACAGGGATCCCCCTCCAGCCCCTGTAAGTTGTCCTCAGGCACCCCTAACCTTGAGTAGGACCTCTGATTTTTCCATATCTTTCTCCATTTTCCTCTTCATGCTTTTCAGCTCCTCTTTCTCCCATGTAAGCATACTGTCAGCTTTGTCAGGGATCTAGAAAACAAGGAAAGAATCCCTCACATCCTTGGGAAAGGGCTGGGAAGAGATTTCTCTTTCCAGGGTGGTAGAAGGTCTGCCAGCCTCATAAACTCTGAGTTTGAAGGATGAAGTTGGGGGTACTCCCATCCTT